GGAACGTGTGAGGTTCTGGCCTAACATTGCCATGGCTTCCTTCCTGAAAGTGAAAAAGTGGTGTAACTCCCAGGTGCTAACTTAACTTTTTTAAAAAACATCTTTATTGAAATATAATGCACATAGCTTAAAATTCATCCAGTTAAAGTATACAACAGTGGGTTTTGGTAGTTTCACAGAGGTGTGCACATGTCACCACAGCCAATTTCAAAACATCTCCAGATACCCGCCATCTAGAGTGACCAGCTGCATTTGCGTGGCCCCCGCTCACCAGTCCTAAGCGCCTAGCAGGACATTTGCTGTCTGCAGACGCGTCTCTCCTGGGGTTTATATAAATGAGATCACCGCTGTCTCTCATGGTGGCACTCTTCCACCTCCACGCCTCCGAGGCTGCCCTCGCTGCCGCAGTGCTGGCACTTCCTCCTCCATGGGACGTTTCATGGTGGGCCACGTTCTGCTCATCCTGTCATCCCCAGTGGACATCGGGGCTTCTGGCTTTGGGGAATGATGCTGCCATGGACATTTTTTTCTAGACAGTTTTCAATTCTCGTGGGGACACCTACCCCAGGAAATATGTGTCAAGTGGCGCTGGTGGGTCACAAGGTGACGGCGTGTCCTTCTGAGGAGCCGCCAGACCCTCTGCTGAAGCAGCTGCACCATTCTGCATTCCCACCAGTGAGGAGGAGCCTCCAATTCCCCACCTCTTGGACACCACTATTGCTATCTCTCATTTTGATTATGGCCAGAAATAAAGTAGAAACTTTATATTTATTAAATAAATTCTATCTTTTAAAATTCACATGCAGCCTAATATTGAAGCTCTACAGAAAGAAGGAAATTCAAGTTATAAAAATGATGAAGACAGAAATGCCCTCTGGAAGGTGGAGGTGACCAGCATCTGGGAGCCGATGGCTCTGCCGGGGGGCGCAGGCACGGTGTGTGTGGTGTGCTGGCTTTGTGATGTGCAGGGCCTGGTGCTGGGTATGGGGGACACTGGCTGGGCTGTAGAAAAGGGCACCAGGCCTCCTTCTTCCCTCCTAATGCTCTTGTTCCCTTTGGTTCACATGTGACCTTCTGGATCCTAAAGGGAAGTTCTTTCCCTAGTAACCCAACCTGTGGCACTCGTGACAAAGCTCCTAAGTTCAGCAGTCAACCAGTCAACCAGTATGGGTCCTGCTCTACCTTCCCCCTGGGCAAAACCTACGGCCTAACGTTCATCTGTCACACAGGACAGGGTTGCTGTCCACCAACGGAGGAACTCGGGTAACTTCCCTTCTTCTGTACCTTGGCAGCCCTCAGAGCAGTGCCCATGTGCTGCAGGGAAAAAGCCGTTTTCACAGAACTGCACTCCAACTTCCTAAAGGTCACTGCCAGTCCCCACCTTCACACAGAAGCACTTAAAGCCCGCCCCCGCCCCCCAGGAGGGCCACAGCTAATTTTAGCGGAAGGATTATAAGAGGAATGCCTGGAATCACCCAGAACTTTTTGGTGTCTGTCCCCTCAGGCCAGCTGAGCAGTGGAGTTTTACCACCCACCAACTCAGTAACCCAACACCAGCAAGGGGTGGAGTGCTTGGGAACCTCATGCCTGCCTAAGGCACCTGCATGGAGAAAACCAAAAATGAAGAAAAATTATAGGGAGGTTGGTGGAGGGGCCGGGGGCCACGGGGTAAAGGGCACTGTGGGCTGGCCCTCCCACTCTCTGCGGGGAGAGAGGTTTGTGCCTTGATCATGGTCTTTTTTTTTTTTTTTTTTTAGTTGCAGTTGGACACATTTATTTATTTATTTATTTATATGTGGTGCTGAGAATTGAACCCAGGGCTCTGTACCCGCTCAGTGAGCACTCTACCGCTGAGCCACAACCCCAGCCCATTGATCATGCTTTTATGAGAACAAGTCTAGCAGGTGCGGGGCAGGGCAGAGGGGGTTCCCCTGGAAACAGTGGTTTTACCCTGTGGACCAGAGATCATCCCACAGAGGCCAGAGTACTTGACAGAGGTCTGCGATTTCATATGTATGCCAGGCACTGCCTTCAAGATAAAAGTCTTATGTTACCTTTCTTCAAATAAATGTAGATCCGTTGTAGCTGATAAAAAGTATCTTTCAATTATAAATGTGTCTGAGAAGTTGCTTTTTGTCATTGTATGTTTCTTTTCCTAATGACCCAGCAAATAATCACCAAGCATTATTTGCAAAGTTTTTAAGCTTTAGGAGGGCTTTCACTTTGAAAGGTATAAAGGAAGTGATGTATTAGGTCCAAAAGATCCCCCAGTAGTGACAGAAGAAGAAATTCTGGAGTAACACAGGAGTCGGCAAACTTCAGCCCACTGCCCATCTTTCTGAATAGTTTTCTAGGAGCACAACCATGCAATCTGCTTATACATTGATCTACATCTGCTTTGCAGTAGAGTTGATCCTGAAAGCTTAAAACGTTTACCATTTTGCCCACTAAAGAGGGAGTGTTCTGACCCTCAGTACAGTGGATCATGGAAAATGCCACAGCCATTACAAAACAAAATCAACACAAACTGTATACGCAATCAGGGAAATAGGTTCAAAACGGAATCCTGAAAATGTTGACCTCTGCCCGCCTTCCGAGGAGGAAGCCATTCACTTGGTTTTGCCGGGTTCCACAGGAGAAGGAATTGGCACTCTGGGGAAGGAACGCTGGAGGGAAGAGAACGGGCCTGAGTGGAGTGTCTGCTGGGGCGTCCCCTGCACAGGCCACGCCACACCTCTGTGAGCCCTGGCTCTCCAACTGACACCGGAAGGCCCATAGGCCAAGACAAAGAGCTCTGGGGGTATACTCCCTTCTCCCCCCCTGGACCTAAAAGATATTAAAAAATAAAACCAAAAGTAAGGACAGGGACCAACTGTCCCCCACTGAGCCCCAGGATCAAGTAGACACCCCACTGACGCACAGCTACACAGCAGCTCCCCCGGTGAAGGCCTGCCCAGGAGAGATGGCGAGAAAGACCGACAGCTGCAGGCCAGCCAGACATCATCCTCCTGATTACTCCCGAGTCAGCCTGCCTCAGGGGCCAGGAGCAGGTGGGGGGAGGGGGGGTCTGTCCTCCTGGAGACCCTGCCTGCCCCCAGGAAGGCTTCTCAACACCCACCCGGTGCTTCCACACACAGAAGGCCTGAGGAACCCTGGCTGGGGCCCACGGCTGCTTCTACCCCCACACCTGCCACCACCCACTTGCCCCTTCACCTGATGGTATCAGAGCATCTTAAAAGCACAACTTCTTGGCCTCTTCCCTCTGCTGAGTCAGAACAAAGCAGGACGCACAGTGACGACCACACACAGAGCCGGAGCAGGGCTGGCTCCAGCATGGCTCCAGCTCCCTCGGGCCCTCCCCGCCCCTCCCCTTGGCACTGCTGTTCATTCTGTAGTGGATGAAAGGTGCCACTCAGATGGCGCAGGTGTCTTCACTCACAGCTCCCGTTCCCAGAACTCTTCTGCCCCTGCAGACGTGCTCCACACCCCAGGAGCAGCCCCCTGAACACCTGATCTTAAAAGCTCAGTGTTTCCAGGGGAAGGACTAAGGGCATGGGCTAGAATACAAACCACTCAGAGGCTGCAAACAGCTGAGAGAAAATCCGTTTAATCCAACTTAGTTTAAAAATGCTTAAGTCACACCCACCACAGGAGGCGACCCCAGGCGTTCGGGGGAGGCCAGGTAAGTGATGTGGAGGCTGGCGAGGGTCTCAGCGGAGGCCTGGAGGACCTTCAGCTCTTCCCGCCACAGTGTTTCCACCAAAGCCAGCTGGCTTACCAAAGACACCTTTTCATCCTTCATGTGAGAAACCTGAAAGTGAGTTTTAAATTATTTTTTACT